AACACTAGCACATTTTGAAATAGCCATCCATGGCTCTTGTTGAGTTCAGTGCAACTAAACTAGTTCGACTTGTTTTTTTTCCTATTATATTTTGGTTTGGCTTAAAACAGGATACCCCCATATCATCCGAATGGAATGTATTATGAGAAGAACAATAATAATGTATCTAGAAGACCAAGGAGTGCAGGAAGTAATCAATCAATGGACCACATTGATATAGCAGCTCGTTCAAGACACATGTCAATGGATGAAAAAGACATTATTCCAGGGGTTATGTCAATGGATTTAACTAAACAAAATTTAGATTTATCAGAATCCCACGGGAACTCACCAATATCCCAATCCACAGTAAGTCCAAACAATCAAACCTGTTTGATAAGGTTTAGGGTATCTTGAATTGTCTTTGTTGTGTAAAATGAGACTTATTCTATAACCAAATGAAGACGTACGGTGAAATCAAATAATTAAGAATCTTACTATCGACTTTTTACTTCATTCGTTACAGAAAGAAATGGAAGCTGAGATGAATAGACTGAGGCTTGAACTGAAGCAAACTATGGACATGTACAGCTCGGCTTGCAAACAAGCAATCTCAGCAAAAAATCAGGTGATTTTTTCATTGTTCAATAGGAATAAACGATGATGGCAAATACACCTTTAGTAACTTATAAACTTTGGCGATCAACCTCCTTTAACTTTAAAGTACACATCAATAGCTTGTGCCAATAACAATGACTTGTTTTCAGGAGGGGTTTGGATATTTTTAATTGATGGAAAGTTTCCTGAGTAGAGTGATTTGATATTCTCATTGATAATGAAGAATGGACAATACATACATAGCGTATCTCACAAGTTTTGATGTAACCTAGTCTTAACAAAATTGCAGAATTGGTCTATCACCATAGTTGTCTAACAATCACAATAACTGTCTAACTATTATTTATAGAATTAGCTAGTTATGTGAAATCATAACACCAATTAATACAAAATTTATAAAATAAGATTCATCATTAACCATGAAGTGTTATAGTTAGATGAAATAAATGAGGATGGTTTCTTTTATGTTTTTTATGCTTTTAAGTTTTAACATTGAAGGGTGTAAAATGAAAATCATGAAATGACTAAAGAACATGTGATTGGTTGCATGCATGCAGGCTGAACAGATTCGCCAATGGAAACTGAAAGAGGAACGCATGGTTGAGGAATCAAGGTTATCTCAAGAGGCAGCTCTTGCAATGGCAGCACAGGAGAAGTTAAAAGCCATAGCTGCATGGGAAGAAGCTGAGGAAGCAAAGAAGAAGGCTGAAAGGGAAGCAAAGAAAAGAAGGGAAGCAGAGATGAAGGCTAAGAAAGAAGCAGAAGAGAAGGATCGGGTATTAACCGCATTGGCTCAAAATGATAATCGATATAGAAGATACACCATAGAGGAGATTGAAGTAGCTACTGATCAGTTTTCTGCATTAAAGAAAATAGGTGAAGGTGGATATGGACCTGTATATAAAGGCAAACTTGATCACACCCCAGTTGCAATCAAAATTCTAAGCCCTGATGCTTCTCAGGGCAGGAAGCAGTTTCAACAAGAGGTAATGATATATATGCAGCGTTTTATACGTGTTACAAATATGCATTTTGATTATTTTGCAATAATTAAGAATAATGCTGAATCTAACATATATTCTCTGAAGCTGATAAGCAATGTGAAATGTTTTACCAGCAGAAGTTCAACTATCTTTTTGGCAGAAGTACTTCTTTACTTTATAAACTTTTGATTGTCTTTCATGCTTGAAAATTAATAGAACACTCAAGCTGGAGGGCATTTGCCGAATCATAAGATTAAGGGAAATGTTTCACAACAAAGTTCGTACTGTGCACATTGTTAGATGTGATTGGTTAATTGCTTTTCTCTCTAGTGCCAATTACTCATTGCACACTTTCCTGATTGGTTCATTGATATTTCATTATAAGTACCTATATGTGTCATAGCAAACAGCAACACTATCATGAACCATGGACTAAAGTAGATATATGTTGTTTCTTAGCTAATGTGTTTAAATTCGACCATGACATTCTAATAGCTCATTAATAAAAATATAACATATTCTTCCATGTTTTTTTATTACTACTTGGTTATAATAGTGGTAAAATCTCTAACTCTTCCATGTTTACATGCGTAGGTTGAGGTACTAAGCCGCATTAGACATCCTAATATGGTGCTCCTACTTGGTGCTTGTCCTGAGTACGGGTGCTTGGTGTATGAACACATGGACAATGGTAGCTTAGATGACAGATTGTTTAGAAGAAATAACAGCCCACCTCTTTCATGGAAGAAACGGTTTCAAATATCTGCTGAGATTGCAACTGCACTTCTTTTCCTTCACCAAACAAAACCTGAGCCCCTTGTGCACAGAGATCTTAAACCAGCAAACATTTTATTGGATAGGAATTATGTCAGTAAAATTGCTGATGTTGGTCTTGCACGATTAGTCCCTCCTTCTGTAGCTGATACAGTCACACAATATTACATGACTTCAGCTGCTGGAACCTTTTGCTATATTGATCCTGAGTATCAAAGTTCAGGAATGTTAACACCAAAATCAGATATATATTCATTTGGGATAATGTTACTGCAAATAATCACAGCCAAGCCTGCTATGGGACTTGCTCACCAAGTCAAGAGGGCAATTGAGAAGGACAAGTTTGAAGAGATACTTGATCCTGCGGTCACTGATTGGCCAGTTCAAGAGGCTCTTGAATTTGCCCAATTAGCATTACACTGTGCTGAACTCAGCAAGAAGGACAGGCCAGATCTAGCAAAAGTTATATTGCCAAAGCTTAGTAGTTTAAGAGAGTTTGCAAATGCTTCTCACAATAATCAAGTTTTTTGCAGCGTTGATCAAACGAATAGCTATTTTGCACGCCCTCTTTATTCTGCATCGTCAAATCTAAATTCAAAGACTCTAAGTAGAAGCTAGGTATGCATACTGACTTACTCATCATGTAGAAAATATACTTGATGCAATTCAAATTATACTAAAACCATTCTCAGGCCATCAATGCATGGTTTTTAGAATAGTTTTTAGTTGTAAATTTGTAATGGGTAAATGTCTTTTTTCTCTTTTAACAATTTGTAATTGATAAGACTTTGACAATATAGGAGGCAATCTCTAAGGATGGTGATGTGGAATTCAGACCTGCCCCAAGAAAGGAACATTACAGAAGTTAGAGATTGAAGATGTCAGACTAAGTGAAACAAGTGTGTCACAAAACGAATTCAAGAAGCGAAAGGGACCAAGACCAGCTATGAATTGTACTAGTTGGCAAGTGAAGCAGGCATATTGTGTATATTATTTAATTTGTTGTCGTAGTGCCATATGTTCCATTACACTCAACTGTTCAATAATTTGATGGAACTTCAAATGCAAAAAGAAGGCTCACAATTCCTGCTAGCTAAGCTAAGTATAACCAGGTCAACATAAAGTGTAATACTATGAGAGCATAACTAATACACGGATGGATTATGTTTGGAGGTAGGTATTAGAAAAAGAAAGATTGTTTAAGAAGCATTGCTTTGGATTCCCATTGCCATAAAATGAGGTCTAAAATTGCCAAACTCCAATGACATAATGACTTATGACTCCATGATTCTTTCGTTATTTTCATGTGGTTATGACTTATGAGTCCCCTAATACTTTCCTTATAACAAACATGATTTCGTTATTTAGTTATAACAAGCATGATTTCTTTGTGAAGGAAGATTGGAAAATTTGTTTAAAATTGGGGATTTTCATATGATGTTGGCTCCGGTTGGTACAGTAATTTAAAACCTAAACAAGTGCAATTACTTCACTCCACGATGCAATTTTGTTTTCCAATTCGTGGCATGCAATATTAAGCTTCATTTGACAGAGGCCGAGACAAAAAGTGTATACGAAGTTTTAATTTTATGTTCCTGATCACAAACCAGTATATCATGTGATTAAGGCCTAATGTGTACCTGATTTTTTTAACGGGACAGTTTATTTCAATATGTTTCCTTATATAAATATAAGTAGGCCTAGCTACCTCACTGTTTTAATCCATTCAATAAAAATATATCCATAGGACATAGCATGCCAGCAGATTCCACAACCTTAAAGTGATGAAGCTTATATTATAACAGACCTAGATTTGAAAACTAACATATCTTAGAACCCTGGAAAGGAGACAAGACGATCAGTATTTTTTTTATGAGAACAGGAGTATAAGCACACTTGAACCGATAAAAAATGTTTTATAACTTCTAATTACACCACCTTATTGCTACTTATTACTCTTTTGGTAAGTGGTGTATAGATTCTATGGACTGTAATACTAGTTTTGTGGCTGGTACTCTTGAACTTTTGGTTTGGTCTATTTTATGATGTGGGTTGAGTTTCTGATAAAATAAAATAAAATAAAACTGTATATGGGTTTAATACATGAACAGCACATTTAGTGTGTATACCTTGCGTCTGAGATGAAAGCATATGCTAATTCAAACCATTTAGTTTATATACGAGGAGAGATTCATTTACTATATGAGTAAGTTTTTTAAACTTACTTCATATTTTAGCTTCAATTCTAAGTAAATCTAATGGTTTAGATCTATTTAGTAATTCAAACAATTGAATTTTCCTAGAATTAATGGCTAATATATGAAGTAATATATATATATATATATATATATATATATATATATATATATATATATATATATTCAATACTTAATCAACCAAGTTATTTCACTTTTCTCATATTTGTTTTTGCAAACTAAGAACAACAAAACAATTTAGAAACCACACATACCTAAGGATAGGATAGGTATGAGACATAATGAAAATATTATAAGGTGACATATGGTCCCGAGCTGCAAACTAGGGTTAGTCTTACGATAAAACGGGAAAGCAAGAAAAGAAAGAAACAAAAAAAGCAAGTATTGTAACAGAAAAGATTAAGAGGTTGAGAAAGAGATGAGGATTGGGGTGACAGATAGAGAGTAAGCACAAATAGCTTCAAGCATTAACCATCATGCAAGAAAACACCATGTGTGCTCACTCTCTTCTGTCACCTCCCTTACCCCCAAGAAATAATGATATTTCACATGGAGTTGATGCAGTACTTGGATCAAGACTAAGCTTATCCTCATTTTTGAAGAGGGATTGGGGGTTATGACAGACAAAATGTTAGCTGGCTCTCGTTTCCTTCAACCCCTAAATTGTTCCATTTCTATACACTAAGGAACTTGAGATGTTGTGTGATAAGGTGAAGGGGGAGCAAGGGTTTATATAGGGCAGAAAAGAGAATTTACTTGCATCATCACGTATGGAAAGAATAAATGTGGGTCTATCTTCCACTGCCTCCAATATTTTAAATAATTTACAGAAGGGAAAAAAGAGAGAGTAGAAAGAAGACTAGGAACTTTATCTTTATAACATGCATTTCCGCCCATATGAAACTAGAGTCCAATAACAAAGGCTAGATTATGATGAATAATGACTATGGGAAAAAAGACTAGTTTTATCCGGATCTGATTTAAATTAGATTTTGGTGATTGTTTTCTGAAAATATGAAATCTTCTTTTTACCTTTTGCTCAATGGTATAACAATCATTTTTCTTGTATTAATCTAAGATGTAATTGGATTGAGACCCTTACCACTTTCTAATACATTTTGCTTATAAAAAAAATTCCAACAACCAAAGTCATTTATTCATTGTTATTACCAGCTGAGCATGTAATCATGTATCACTTCTAAATACATTAACCCTCAATGCCCGATAAGATATCTATGCCAGAACTCTAATATGATATATTTTTTCTTGTTGGACTCACTCCTGAGGCAAAGAGATAAAAAAAACTAAAACATAAATACTTATATTGAAAAAGGATGTATTATATATTTATATGTAGTTTGGGTTTGGCACACTTATAATTAGTTTCTCAATTCGGCCGAGTTTTACAAAAGTTGGTAAAATTAGCCATTTCAAGATTAATGTGTTTTATGAAATTGATATCCATAATTCTTCATTTTTTTAAATATTAGTGGAATGATACTTATTTCACTCCTTATATTTTTTACTTTAAGGTTAATGCATATTGAGGTATAATTAATGAGGTAAGCCATGAAATTCCAAAATAATAATAATGTTAAAAAAGTACTGCCTTAAAAAAAGATATATTGAGGTATAATTAATGAGTGTCATAAAGGGTATTAATTAATGAGGTATAAATAATGTTAAAAAAGTACTGCCTTAAAAAAAGATATATTGAGGTATATATTGAGATACAGCGTGATTCAATTTTGAATAACGTTCTTGACCTTAATAATAACTATAAGTGTAATATCTATGTATTTATCATATATCTATATTATTTTTTTAAACAGTCAATGATAATGGAACATAAGTAATAAATAATTCAACTTATATATTGTCAACCTATATATTTTTTCGCATAAAAATTTACTAATAAAAAGAAAGAAAAATAGGAAAACAATGAATACATCCATCCACTTACATGGGTTTAATACTCATTCTGCACATAAGAAAATAAAATTAGTATATCTTACTTTTATCAAAGCTTGTATTCTCGAAACTACCTTGTTCATGATTTTTGTAGTCCAAATAATTGTAGAACCTAAGGGATATATACTTTTGCTTCTTCTTTTTGTCCATCTTCACTTTACCATGTCATCATGAATTGATAAGTTTGAATTAACTTTATTATGAATAACAGATTAGGGAAGGCCAAACAACGAATATAATTTTTGCTACATAATATAAGATGTTGAGCAAGAAAATAAAAGTGATATTCATTGATTCATACAACTCTTTGGGTAAAGCACATCAAGGTTCTTATATGTAAGACGCTTCTTATGGTTAAATAAATAACATTTTCAACCTGTTTGATATAAATATTTCAATCAACAGCTCAATATGTTTCACTTATTAAGCATATATGTTTTAATTTGAAAAATTATTCACTTTTTTGATATACATAACAGTCATTTTCTATTGATTCTCATTCTCATTTCTCATGTACCATAAACGAGTGGGAGGGGGGGAGTCAATGATATAGAAAATGTTGTTGCTCTAAATTATCATGTCAGAGAAACTAGTAATATAAGTATATATAACTAATTAAGTGTAGTATTATTCTTGTGTCCACCTTCAAGGAATATCCATGGTACCCTTACTTTGGCACATATATAGTAATATAATATGGTGCAGATAGAATTGAAGGCCAACACATAGTCTCATTCCTTTAATTAAAGATGGAAAGAATTTCATTAAAGGAATGATTGGCCAATTAGTACTGGACAAAGCCTCATTAAGCACAAAAATGACACGCTAAGATCTAATGTGCAGGCTAAAGCAAAGTTTAAAGGAATCGAGATCTACTGTCCCAGAAGTGTGTATCCAATAAAATTGTGACATCCATTAAAAAAAATTGAATAATAAAAAAGAAATATTAAAATATTATTATTTTTTATTATGTGTCGCAATTTCATTGGGTGGGACATGCTCTTGGGACAGATGATCATGTTTCAGTTTAAAGTATATATGCTTTATGCTTTCTTATTTTAGTTCAAACATTATTGGTGCAAAGTAAAATCTTCACGTTTGTGTGCAAATCAATCACAGGAAGTGCTTCACTTGAGCTTGAGCAAAGAATGTCCTGCCTTTGACAACTAATCCTCATTGAGTAGTGAAAACTGCATTAACAAAGCCTCTTTTACACCTCATGTGCGTAAAGTACAAAACTAAAATTATGTGTAAAAAAATCTAGACAAGTTGAGCTCAAATGGTTTCTCACTAAATTCTATGGGCTGGAAAGAACATCTCCACTTATATGAATAAACATTAATTCATACATATACCTTCCCTGGGGTCAATCAATAAGTTGGATTCTTATGCCTTGAATCACCCAATATATTAAGTAGATTTAGAATTATCTTTTTATTTATTAGTTCGGCATAAATAGATTAACTAGTAATCCCTTTTTTTTTTTGGAACTATCAATGTTATTTTCTCACCCCCTATGGATAAAGAACTAATCGCTTATGGGATATGTGATTAACTCTCTTAACAAGTATCCCTCATAAAAATTAAACTTTTGATTTTTTGATCATTTATAAATCTAGTGAGACCTTACACTATTACATCAGTGTCTTGTTGATATCGCTCCACTTTTTGAAAAAACATTTTTCATATGCACGACACCTCATGGGCTTTTGGTCGATTATGATTATATTTTTTCGTAAGTTAATTTTTTTTTACAAATAAATTATGATTATGATTATATTGATGTGAGGATCATGTTTAAAAAAGTCTTAAGAGTACTGTTTATTAAGAAATCCAAACATAAAAAATATATATCAGAAAATAGAATCAGGTTTGTCTATAGTACTGGATCATCCGATTGTGGGGACAAATTAAAGAGGAATTTTTAATTTATTTTATTATTTAAATTAAAATAAAAAAAACTCTATACCTTTGGTTTTTTATGTGTTACATGCCAAGATATTCATAATCCCAACCCAAGAAAATAAAATCCATGAACTCTCAAAGTCTTGAATGCAGCAAGCAATAAACATTTTTTACTTAGAATTTTTTGCAGTGTTTTGCTGATGAAATGGGTACGGATTCCATTAATATAGTGGGGCTGACTATTGGTGAGGTTAAACCCTAATCGATCAATCCTTTATACCACTACTACAGTGCACATCCTTTAGAATTTGATACTTTTTTCTATCACTCCACTGTGTTGGTAACTGTCCAATAAAACTACTCAGTTGAAGACAGCCATACCCTCCTTCTTGCCTTATCACAAATTAAATTGGGTCAATGCCAATCTCCTTTTTTTATTATAATTGTGATCAGAGATAGGTGCATGGGTGGGGTTGGAGTTGAAAGGCGTTATTGCCAACTAAGGGGAAAGTAAGCATGCATGCATGTGACCTGAATTTGGAGCCATGTGCTTGAACACTCTTATTCATATTCACATTATTGTTAGTATTCTTAATTTACCTTGGTTCAGTAGTGTGACGGTGTAGCATTAGCAATATTTCCCCACAGCACTTACCTAGAGAGAGTGCTTCGGAAGCTGCATACATACATGCATTTTGCTATTTCTTTAACTATTTTATGTTGTCTTTTATTTTGGTCTTTATAAAAAGAAACTCAACTTTATTCCTTTTCATATATTGATTAATGATCATAAGACAATGGTTGTAATTATATTGTAACGTTGTATTGGAAAGGGGTACACAGTTTCTCTCTGTGGTCCGTCCAACCCGTTAGTTATGCATATGTTTAAAGTTCAGCAACACATACATGTTTAGAATCATTGTTCAGGATCTTACAATAATATATTCTCTTAAAATTTGATGCTTTCCCTGTTATCACCAAAATAAGCATTCAAATTAGACTTAAATTTTCTTATCTTTGTACCTTAGCCCTATAATAAACTATTGAATCACTGGTTATTTAAAGGTTCTGTTAAAATTTTGAAACCATTATTGCAATTTTCAGTAGACGTTTTCTTTCCAACAGAATTTTTTTAACATCTGTATCTTTATCCTATGGGCTGAAGTTAACAAAACAGTTAAAAAAATTGGGAAATAACAATTAAAACTTTCTATTTTACTAGCTCATATGTCACAACCAAAGTAGTATGAAGCAATGAGGAATAGTTTTCTCCAATATTACGTCTCATTTATCTCGCACCAATGATAATGAAGCAAAAACATCGATAATAATAAAGTGTAAAATTTATCAATAATAATAAAAGTTTAAAACTTTTAATTAACATGTGCAGGAAAAGAGTGGAGTTCAATTTGGGAGAGAGGGAGGAGAGGAAAGTAGTAGAGTTTGAGTATGAGGAGGGTTTTGAGTTTTAACCATTAAAATTGGGGTGAATTTTATTAGTATAAAGCAAACATAACATGCAAGTAATTTCCTGTGTGGATTAGAAGACCCAATTATAAAGGTGGGCCTTAATCCGATTAATTTCCAATGGCTTTTTTGGTGTAACTGTAACCCTTAGCCTTTTACCTATCCAATGTCCC